TTGGTTTTGCACCAGGTAATAAAGTCTAAAGAAATAAAAAAATGATTTTAAGTTGTTATTAACGAATAATTTGCCACTTACAATAAATTATACCAAGAATATACCTGAGTTAAAAAAACTCTAGAACTATTGGCACCTACAAGACGCTCCTGTATTGCATCTCCAACAGCTGTAATAATCTCTTCCTCGTTTAAAAATCGAACCTATTATGGTAACTGGAGTTTAATGGCGTAATATCATTTAGTACAATAGGATGTCAAAAACAAACCTCGCGTTTTGTGGGATGGACATTCACATCAACGTTTTCTGGATTAATTTCTAAGCTCAAATATACGAACGGATGCGTATTTTTCGGCAAATAAGTTGCATAAACACTTTCAATAGTTTTTTTGAGCAATGAACTTTCTACTGCTCTATCTTAAATAATAGCATATTTATATATTTAAATAGTTAATAATTAAAAAACGTCACAAGAGTAAACTATAGAAACTCACGATTAATGAACAAAAGAAAAACCAATTTTTTCAAGTTATAATTGGGGTTGGAAATGTATCCATTAACTCTGAATTCGAGCTTTCTGAAAATTTTCCCAAACTCTAATAGTTCGGAAGTCGTGCTCCCATATATTTGCCGAATGTTGTCTAATGTAGATGCTGTCGACAAAGTATTCACGTCTGCCTGAGTTGATCCTTGCTAACCAGAAATGCAATGACTTTGTCAGTGTTTAACAAATAATCAATGCATTTTAAGTTATTTTACCTTTTTACATGAAAATCCAACACCTGCATTATGAATAGCGTAACGATTAACCACATCAAGAATCCTAGCATATTCTTCGGTTGGATTTTTCAATGCTTTCCGACGAGTTGGTACATTATAAAAAAGGTCTTCCGCCTAGCAGATATTGTACATTGATAATAATGGCGATCAAAATAAAATCAAGCATCACAAAAAGGTATAATTGTGTTAAATAGTGAAGTACAACTTACCGTAATCTGTGTACCAATATTACCTGCACATGCTTTTGGTTCGGCAGCAGCACCAGGTTTTGGTGGAACAAGTTTACCATCGGAATAGCAAGCTCTAATTAATAAATAATGATGAAATCAACTGATCAACTTTGAGAGCAAAAAAAAAAAACGCGTCAGAAATATATTAAACAATATATGCTCTTATGATAACCTATAAGCACAGTTAGAATCAGCAGTTTTCGTGGTGATTGTAAGGTGAGCCACATGACTTATACTAGCCAAAGCCTCACCGCGAAATCCATAAGTGCCTATATGCAATAAATCTTCGAAATTCCTGAGTTTACTCGTTGTGAAACGCTCACATACGATAACCATGTCCTCTCTCTTTGCGGATATATAAGCGTTAATCATCGAGAAAAACTTGCATATTACGGAAAAACTAAAAAGCTGTATTACTAACCCTAATTCCATGTCCGTTGTCAAGAATTTGAAGAAGTTTGAGCCCTCCCTCCTTGATTAATATTTGAATATTAGTTGCTCCAGCGTCCAAAGAATTCTCGATTAGTTCTTTTAACGCGTTTGAGGGCCGTTGAATAATCTACAAATTGCCACTTAAGTATTATGCTTTGCAAAAATGCAAATATCGATAGGCACCATATTATTAACAAGAGAACAACCTCACCGGCGGCAATTCTATTCACAACAGATTCATCAAGCTTTTTAATGGGCCGTGGGGCGTTTGACTTTTTGGACTCCATTACTCACGTTCCTTGTGTTTCGTGTTAACACGAAACAACACGCTTTCAGATTAGCATGACGAAAATGCGGAAAGTCTACGGACACGTACTGGTCACGTGATTTTGCACGTACCGACTATCACGTGCCGACTATCACGTGCTATACAACGTAACAAGGGTGCAAAAGTATCAATTTTGGATAGATCTACAATGTACCGAATTTGGGTTACGTTCTTGATGCATTTTAGTAATTTTAGTACTATGTATAATAGCCATGTGACAAATAATATCCCTTAAACTGTAGACAATTTCAGGCAAATTTGCCTGGAAAATTGCTATAAATTTGTTTATGATTTACTTTTTTTAAAATTTAAAATATTTAAATGTAACATTGGAAAAGGGCCTTCGCCATGTTTAATTAGCGCTACGCTTCACCATAATAATAAAAACTTACACCCTTCACTATCATTTTAATAACTATTTTAAAAAATAATTGTTTGTGGCAAATTATTCGTTAATAACAACTTAAAATCATTTTTTTATTTCTTTAGACTTTATTACCTGGTGCAAAACCAA